AGGGTGGCACATTGAGTCCACAGCATACCTATATGCTTTATAATGTTTATTCATCTACCCAAAATGATTTTACTTTGCCTATTTTAAAAATTCAGTAAACAAAAKCACATTTGTCCTTTCAAAAATCTTATTTTTACTTTACATAAAATATTAACTCTTTGAGTTCATTTTAGTTTAATTATCCTTTACTTCAGGTATTTTGAAGCTTTGTTGTTAGGCATATGTTAAATTTATAATTATTATGACTTCCCAGAGAATTGATCCCTTTTGAATCATGCTGTATCCTTCTTTATTCCCAGTAACATTCCTCATTCTGAAGTTTACTTTGTCTGATATTATTTAGACAAATAATTCCATAGTCTCCTGATTAATGTTTGCATGGTATATGCAAACATCTACTATTTTACTTTTAGTTTCTCTATTATTTTATATAAATTATATATAGGTAGACAATAAATACATAGCTGGGTTCTGTTTTTCTCCCCAACTTTAAAGTCTCAGTCTTATACTCACTTGTTTACATAATTTACATTTAAATGTAAATGTACACTTCTGTTTGTCATTTTTATTTTATCTTGGAGCACTCCAACTGCTCTAAATTTATGGTCTGTCAGGGGTTTTTAGTCCTCCTTCCCTCCCGACTTGCAGGAGAGATAGGGAGAACATGCCCCTGCCAGGACGAGTCAAGAAAGGAGAGGGCCGACTGACCGCCGGCACCCAGCCCTCCCTCACCAGAGGACAATCAGATGCATCAGGGAGACCAGTCAAGGCTGGAGCTCCTTTATTGAGGAAGCACACACAGCTAATATAAGGCACAGGAGCCAATCAGGATAAAGGTCAGCAGGGTGAGGAGAGTTCACATATACACCCATTAAGGGGAGACACGAGCTGTCCACGAGGGCAGAAGGATTCTGAGCCTATCCTAGAGGTGGTCCAATTTTTCTTCACAACCCATGGTAATGCCTTTTGGCTGATTGCCAGGCTCCATCTTAGCCATGTGCAGTCCCAAGATCAGGAAGTGAGCATCAGTCTGCAAGTTAGGTTTCCTTTTCTCCATCATAGGTTTCTATTTCTCTGATGTGACGTGCCCTACAATGGTCTGATAATATTATTATGGATTTAACTTCATTTTTAATGATTTGTATGGGTTGATTTCCTAGATTTTATGTCTGCAGACTTTGAGTTATCTTTCAATGTTCAACTCAAATGCTGTTTCCTTTGTGTTACTTTCTGTATCTCACCCTTCCATGCAGAATTGGATATGTCTGCTTCTACAACATTGTGTACACAATTCTCCTGTAGCATTCAAGTTAGAGGTTAACATTTTAGGAAGGCACTTTAAGATGGCAGAAAATCTATGCCTTCATAAAAGCAGAAGAAATTTGGCACAAATTGTTAAGATAAATCTTTTCAGAATTCTGGAAATTAGCCAAAGGATTGCAAAAATYCCAGGAGCATTTATTCAATAAAATAATCGAAATTTCATAGGAAGAGATTTTTCTGGTATTTTTAACTAGTACTATTCCCATCTCCTTCTCTCTGGCTCCACATTACCTTTGAAAACCAAGTAGCCTCAACTAATGTAAAGCAGGTGACTAGGAGCCACTGCAGGGGATACTGGGTTTCGAGTTCCTTAAAAAGCTCATACTTGGAGAAATGTCACTATCTGGCCACCTTTAATATCCTGGCAAAGTCAATATGCAGAACTTGTCATTATTTGTTAGTGGTGATGGTGGTACAACTATGTGGTTAAATGACAACAAAAACCAAACAGTGAATTGTACACTTTGAAAAGGTAAACATCATGGTGTATAAATTATATTTCAGYCAAGCTGTTATAAAACAGAACAAAAAAGGTTAAGGAAGTTTATTTCCTCTCCAAGGGCAGGAAGGGAATTTTGCTAATCTGGGTCACTCCAAAGGCAAGTAGAATCTCAGAAAAATTTTTTATAGGATAGTTTGTTTTGATTATTTTATCATTATTATTTTTGGGGATGAGACCTTGCTAAGTGGCTTTGGCTGAYCTCAAACTTGCAATCCTCCCACCCTGGCTTCCCGAGTAGATGAGATTACAGGCATACACCACTGTACCTGGCTTCATAGAAATATTCTAAATGAATGATTGCATAGTTTTCTCATATGCTTTCCTCCTTTATTTATTTTATTTACATGCATTAATTGTACATACTAATGGGATTCAGTGTAATATTTCAACACATGCATATAACATGTACTTGATCAAATCTTGTCTCCCTTTATTCATCATTCCCCTCTATTCCTAACCTCTAGTAATACCTGTTCTATATTCTGGTTGATTTTTTTTAAATATTCCATATATGAGAGAAAATATGCAGCACTTGCATTTCTGTTTGCCTTATTTAACTTAATACARTGTAGTCCAGTTCTCATTTTTCCTCAAAYGACAGGATTTTATTCTGCTTTGTGGTTGAATAATATTCTGACATATATACCATATATTTTTTTTCTTTTGTGGTACTGGGGATTGAACCCAGGGATGCTCTACCACCGAGTAAAATCTCCAACACTTTTTATTTTTTATTTTGAGATAGGGTCTCACAAAGTTGTCCAGGATGTACTCAAACTTGTGATCCTCTTATCTCAGCCTCCYRAGTCACTGGGATTACAATTATGCACCACCCTGCTTGCCCTGTACCACATTTCTACATTCATCCCTTGATGAGCATATAGGTTGATGCCACATCTTAGCTATTGTGTACAGTGCTACAATAGATACGAGCATGAAGATATCTCTTTGTTATGCTGATTTTATTTCCTTTGAACATACACCCAGAAAYGTAAAATTGGATCATATGTTAGGTCTATTTTCAATTTTTTGAGGAACCTCCAGACTATTCTCCATAATGAGATGTAATGATTTAGATTCCCATCAACAGTGTATGAGAATTCCTTTTTTCACATCCTGTCAGCATTTGTTATTGTTCTTTGAATAACAACCATTTAAACTAGGATGAGATGATATTGTAGTTTTACTTTGCATTTTCCTGGTAGCTAATGATATTGAGTATTGTTTTCATATTTTTTTGCCATTTGTATTTCTTCTTTTGAGAAGTGTCTACTCAGATCATTTGCCCATTTTTAAATTGAATCATATTTTTGTTGTTGTTGCCTTTTTGAATTCTTTATATACTCTGGATATTAATCCTTGTCAGATTAACAGTTGGAAAATACTGTCTCCCAATCTTTAGCTTGTCTTTCCACTCTGTTGATTGTTTTTTGTTGTTGTTGTGTAGAACTTTTTATTTTGATATACCCCATTGTTTGTTTTTGCTTCCTGTGCTTTGGGGTCCTATCAAAATAAATAATTGCCTATACTAGTGTCCTGAAGCATTTCCCCTTTGTTATTGTCTAGTAACTTCATAGTTTCAGGTTTTGTATTTAAATCTTTGATCCATTTAGACATAATTTTTGTATAGAGTGAGAGGGTCAAATTTCAGTCTTCTGCATATGGCCATTTAGTTTTCCCAGCACCATTTATTGAAGAGGCTGTTCTTTTCRAATATACATTTTTGAAACCTTTAGTGAGAATCATTTGGTTATATATGTATGAGCTTTCTAATATGTTCTATTGATCAATGTGTCTGTTTTTGTGCCACTACCCTTATTCGGTTGCTATGGCTTTGAGTTTGTCTTGAAATCAGGTCTTGTGATGCCCTCAGTTTTGTTCTTTTTCATTATATGCTGACTTCTTTTAACCATTTATAGTATCTCAAATGCAAGCATGTAAAAAACATTCAAAAGAGACATCTGTTTTTTGAGGGGCAAATCAATGGCTATTAGTGTTRGATTATAATATGTCTTATTACAATTTAATATTTATTCAGCTTGGTTGATTTGCACTAGGGCAGCTATTCGAAAGAAATGGAATGAGTACAATTTTGTTGCATTTTATTGTACTGTTTAGAATCTCCTAAATTCTAATGCGATAGTTCCTAACCCCCTTTTTATGTTTCTAACTTCTGGGCTAACTCTTCAAAATACATTTTTCTAGGCCCCACCCTCAATTCTGAGTCACTCGGTTGAAAATCCCTGTTCAGATGAATGTAGACATCAATAGAAAGCCCTACATGTGATGGTGATTACTGCAACCCTTTTAGAATCTCTGGCGTAGATCAGTGCTTTTCCAACTTTAACGTGCATATAAATCCACTGAGGATGTCATAAAGATGAAGATTCTGATTCAACAGGCCTGGATGGTTTCTGAGACCTCACCTTCTAAAAAGTTTYTTAGTGAGCCCGCCTGAAAATCCAAAGACCATGCTTTCAGTAGTAAGGTTGTATAATATAATTTAAAACATGCTGGAGTGGAAAAATTGTTAGTAAAAMGGAAATGAAAGAAAGCAACTTACATTATTAGGCAAAGGTATTGATGAAGGGAAGGAAGGAAGTAATTTCTTAGACATTAACTTTTATCTGGTGAAACTTTTCATTGATTTATCATTTCATGGTTTGTTCAGTTTAAGTTGACCTCACATGTTTTCTAGGAAAGGTTTTTTTTTCCTTTCATTTCATCTGTAGGTCATATAAAATACATATTGTAATAGAGTTTGTATATTTTCTGTAGCTTTTGTCCTGACCATTAAGAATATAGTTAGGAAATATGAACAAACGTATTTGTTTTGTTTAGGTTGACATTATTGACATCTATGTACTGGGTTGAGTTCTGAAATTACAGAAATTGATAAAGGATAGTTCCTGCTTTCAAGGAATTTCAATTTAAAAAAAAAAACAGGGAGGCATTTGGAAACAGATTTGTGAACAGCCAATTATAATGAAAGGAAGAATGAAAGACGTGTTAAATAGAAGCAGGGAGCATWCCATGGAAGAGGCAGAGAATTCCATCTGGGGATGTGGCCCTTCCCATCCACTTTCACATCTACCTGCCAGCTTCTCAGCTCATCACTCACAGTGAGCTCACAGTCTGAACTCATTTAACTCATTTAACTCACTAACACCACAGATCAATTTGGGGAACCTCCTAGAACTTTCTTCAAGGCGTCTTTCATTTCTTTATTCCGAAGGCTATAGATCATGGGGTTGAAAAAAGGGGTCAAAACTGAGTAGAACAAAGTTGTGAACTTCTGCATACCCTCTGCTTGTCCTGACCCTGGACTCACGTACGTCATCATGACTGATCCATAGAATAGGAGCACGACAGCCAAGTGTGAGGAGCAGGTGGAGAAGGCCTTCTTCCGGCCGGCAGCAGAGGGCACCTGTATCACAGCCCTCAACACCAGTGTGTAGGAGCCAATTATGTAGAAAAAGGTAGCAAAAATGAGGAGGGAGCTCATGGTTCCACATATGAGAACTGTCCCTGGGATGGGGACACAGGCTGAAGCCAGGGTCAGCAGGGGACCCAGGTCACACAGAAAGTCATCAATCACATTTGGGCCACAAAATGGCAGCTGGGTGATGAGTATCACTGGGATCAGAAACCAGAGGAAACCGTAGACCCAGCAAAAGATGACCAGGCGATTACAGAACTTAGAAGTCATGATAGTGGGGTAGTGCAGGGGGCGGCAGATGGCCAGGAACCGGTCATAGGCCATGATGGAGAGAAATAAGCACTCAGTTGTGCCCAGTGAGAAGAAGAAGTACAATTGGAGGAGGCACCGGGTGAAGGAGATGGCTTTGGTCCTGGAGAGGAAGTTGGCCAGCATGTTGGGCACGTCAGAGTTGACATAGCATATCTCCAGGAAGGAGAARTTGGCCAGCAGAATGTACATGGGGGTGTGGAGACGGTGGTCCCAGCRCACTGCACATACGATGGCCATATTTCCGAGCAGAGTCAGGATGTAAGTCATAAAGAATATGGAGAAAAGGAAGATCTGTATTTCCCAGCGGCAAGGGAAACCCAAGAGGATGAAGTCGCTCACCAYGTAGGAGAAATTTCTGGCCTCTGAGCTCAATTTCTTTCCATCCTATGAGGATTACAGCACAAATTACACATCCAGGGGGAGTTATGCCTCTGAGTTCTCTCCTCAGGGGAGTAATCACACTTTTCTGGTCATGGGGCAGAGGGTATAGACCAGTGGTTTCTCTTTGTTTTTTGATTGGACACCCCAACAATAGGCTTGTTGAGAGTTGTTGAGTGTCCTCTTCTAAATTTTTATATTCACTTACAAACTGTATATAAACCACTGTCTACCAATATGATAAATCTTAGTAAAACTTTTTGAGAAAACTTTCTTGGAATTCCAAGAAAAATAGAAACTCAAATTTCTCCTTTCTGTATTCCTCAGGAAGTTGCCTGGCATACCAAGCTCTGGAGAACACTGGTCTGAACGATACAGATCAGTGTTCGGCCAAAGCTAAACTGAGTTGTCTACTTTGACATAAATAATTCATTTTTTWAAAATTAGAATTGACAGATTCATGGAACAAAACAATTGTATTGTCTAAGCAACACAGAAGAGAGGACAAGAGGGTTAAAAAATCAGATATAAAAATAACCACCTAGGGATAGAATGACTTTAAGCAAGTTACACCTTAGCTACATTAAGTGRCCATGTCTGGGCCCTGATCAGTATCTATTCTCTATCTGTAGGTTGTTGTAGTACATTGGCTACTGACTTTAGTGYTATAAGAATCCTTGGGGAAGTTTTTGAAAAGTACAGCTCCAGCCTGGTTTGAGATCCACCAGTGTGGCAGAGCATGAACTTTGGAGATATTGGAGACCTGAGCTCGAATTCTGAGTCTGATGCTTTGTAAATGGTACTTCCTGGCGAAAGCACTTACTGTCTGTTACTAACTCTGTAAAATGTGAATAATTACACATAAGTAGCAAGGTTGACATGAGACTTGTATAAAGTAATATACAAAATAGCTTATAGATGGTAAAATGCTACAGAAACATAAAATATTATAAACTATTCAGAAATTATTGTGCTTGGTGAATATTATTATCCTTGGTTAATCTTGTAAATAAAGCTGATTTTAAAATGCAGAAGAATTTTTTTTTTTTTGCATGTGGAATTTTGGGCACATGACAGGTTAAATGTGTGTTTGTGTGTGTGTGTGTGTGTTTATATACACAGGAATAGAAGATAATCCCCTGGATCCTGAGACCACACCAAAGATTTAACCTGCTAACTATCTCTCTTAAGATTGTTTTTTGTCTTCCAAATATACCATAGCTCCCATTTTCTTCCTACAGGTTATATTTCCTAGCAGGGCTACCATTGTAGTCTTAAGTGACAGGATTATTTCCTGCTGGCTACAAATGTGCTTTGTATTAAGGCCACCTAGATTCCAATCTGCCCAATTTCCCAGGTGATCCCTTTCAAGGCTCCTCAGTTGCTCCCTCATGGGCCTTCCTGTGAAAGAGAGCATCAGATTGTCCTCAAGTGACCACAATAGATTCACACCAAAAAACACCATTTCAGAAAAGGCATCCTTGTGGAAGTCATGTTTTGATTCAACTTTTTTTCTCTCTGATGTTCTTTAATTTAGTGCTTTATTCAGGTTTAAGGAAACTTGAAAATCAATTGATTGATAGATACACACATACTTTCTGTATATTTATTTCTAATTCAGGGGAATAGAGGAAAGTTTATCTGAATTTTACCTTGATATAGTTGAAAGTTTCATTCAGAAGAAATTTGAAATATAGATTTATAATCCCTGTTTTACTTTTCCCCYTCTTCCTCATTTTATAAGCTCAAATATTCTATTCACTTTTTCATTTCCCCTCCAAATTGTGCTTGGTATTTTTATTTTTAGTAGAAAAATATGTAGTATGATTTTGGAAGTGATTTTTTTTTGTAAATAGTACAACATATTAGCAGAAATCAAGATTTGTRTTATAAAAGAAAAAATATGAATATAAAATCAAGGAAGAAAAAACTTGATAACATTAAATTTCACTGAAAATATCAATCCACACCCTTTATTTCCCAGCACTAAATACTGAAAGAAATTAGAAGCAATAATATTCCAAATTTTAAACACTCGAAAAAAAATCATCAGTCACAAATGAATTAAGAAAAGAATAGATTCCCACTAAAAGGAGGCAGGGCTCCTTCCTGTGGAAGAAAGGATTGATTTCAGGTCTGGGGTTGGGAAAGCAGAAGGTGAACTGGGGCTATGTTGTCCTTTCCTGCTTCTCTGAAAGCAAAGAGATGCTTGAGAGTGAGCGTGTCAAAAGGACATAGGCAGACCCTTGAAGGGGCTTCCAATAGATAATTTTGGAAAATTTTCAGTATCAAAAAGGATAATGGCTGTAATTTATGTTAAAACATCAAATGAATAAAAACCTACTACTGCCCATAATAATGAAATAAATAAAAAAGATCTGTTTACCTTTTTGTAATAACCAGTTATGAAGGACAAAATAATTCAATAAACAAACAAAAAAATCCAATAAACACTTAYGTAAATTTAACMTACAAAATCTGTGATTTGAGCAGTTTTCCTTTTTCTGTGTTATCATGTACACAAAGGCTTGTGACCAGATGGCACACACACCAGATTTGYYGGAGCAGCTTTTTCTGGGGGCAACTTGTGGACCCAGAATGAGCCACAGTCATGGGGGTTCCTTTTACTCAYTATAATCCTAATGGCACACAGAAATGTAGGATGTGACATTTCAAGAGGGACACCCTCATACGTAGGCCTTGGGTTTTCYAGCAGCATGACAGAGCAAGCACTATCTCCTCTAATGTGATGAAAGCCTCCCATAATATCAAGATGAAGGAAGCTTGACTCTCATCCTATTTCCAGTCTCAGAGTTTGTGTTGGGGAGAGGGAATATCAGTGCTTCTTTTGCTGTAACTGAAGGTTGTGGTTAGAGCTTTGCAGGTGAAAATTATAGGAAATGACAAACCAATGCTGGGAATCTTCCATCAGCCAGTGGCAAAGAAAGTGATAGTTCACAACTGCTCTTATTTCCATGGGACTTTGCAGGAGGCAACTCTCTCTTTGGAGGGGCAACTTGAAGGAAATTAGTTTTGGACTTATGTGTATTATGTTCTTTGGTTTTCTTAATTACACTAGAGGGGAGCCATAGCAAGGATTATTACTTTTTTTCGTATATGAAGAGATAAAGGCTCAAGGAGGTCAAATGCCTGAAGTCTTAAACCAGTAAATGGTAAGATAAATTCCATGCCTTTTTTTCCTATTTTGCCCTTTTATCCCCATTCTAAAGAACTTCCTGTATATATGTTTCTAAAATGTCACYACCCCAGAGAAAAAGTTCAGGAAACTAGTAAAATGTTAGTTTTGTTGGTGCTGTCCATATTCTTATCATCTGAGGGAAGGCAGGTGGGATCTTCCTCAAATCATATCACAGGTGAAATTACAGTTTCTTCCSTTTAGTTTTCATTTTCTCATGGCTTTGTTTTTTATTTTTATTTGTTGTAATAATATTGAAAAATACCCAGATACTACATAAAATCTTTGACTTCAAAAGTTCAGCTTAATTCATTGTCAATTATGGTTATAAAATGGAATCAAAAGGTCATCCAAAATGAGGTCTGCTGCAATTGTTATTTCATGGCATTAATTCAATAAGAGGTGATCCCTCTTAATAAACTGAATTAAGAAGGGCARAGCAGGCATGATTGTAGGGTTATTTTACTCTTACCTGACTTTTGTTGATATACATAGCTTCTCTACACTTATCCATAGCATAAGGCAGATYACCTCTCATGCATTTATGCAAAATCTTGATAATTTAAAAAGGAATATAGTTAAGAAGAAAATACAGGAAATTGTTTATTTGCATTTTTAGGTTTTGTAATTATTTGTCAGAGTCTTTGATTTATTATTATTTTTTCCTCTCAATTAGATATTATCCTCTTTTCTCTCATTGCCTCCAGGAATTCCTATTTTCTACTTATTTTTTGTAGCATAAAGGGCAATTGAATCAATATACTATGTCCTAGGGACCCATGTAAAGGAAGGGGACAACATCCACCACAATATTCCACCTGTTTCTTTCTACATTCTGGAGGAAATAAAAAAAAAAAAAACCTGTGACGTCTAGCCTTTCATTTCTTGGAATTATGTGTTGCTTATATTCACTGGCCTCAGAGAAATCATGGATTAGAATAGAACCTTAAGAATTGCATTTTCTGAACTCAGTGAATCTTGGAGCTTTAAGAAATACTAGTGGTTTTCCAGCTTCCCTTTGACTAGCAGTGAGTCTTTCTCTCCTACCTTCTTGCTGGTGGTTTTTAATAATCTTCCTTGCTCTCCCTTGAGTCACTTTGCAATTTTGATTTACTGCTTTGGTCTTCCACTTCAGGAAAAGGAAGTTAGCATTTAATWTGTGCCCATCATATGTACTCACTCTGTAGGAGTTTGAACATAAATTATCCTTCTTACCCCTCTAATAATTGCAGAAGTAATAACAGAGTCACAGGAAGACTGAGTAACCAGGTCATAAACAGTAAGGTCAGTGTGTTATAGCCTAGCCTAGTCAGTAAGCACCATACAKACTATAGGATATCAATAAGATGAGGTAGAATTATAGGGTAAGTAGGATAAGTAGTGTTAAGTTTTTCTAGTTATAAGTTACTCAAGAACTTAGCCTAAGTAACTCCATCTTAAAAGAAACTATCTTGATTAGAGAGGGTGGTTAACCCAATTAAGATTGTTGACACCCCTGCCCAACCACAAATGGCAATTCTACGGGAAAGGGAAAGGGGAAAATCCCTGGTTACTGCAGACACTTATAACATTGTAGCAGTCTGTATAATTGCTAAATTTAGCTTCTGTAAAGGATATTACTTTGCACAGTTGCAGAAYCCTGCACAGGGTGGAAGTGGTTTTTGTCTTTAAAAAACTTGTGTGGGCAGAGGTGGGCACTGCACCTTGAACAGCCTCTTGCTGAGGGGTAGTCAGCTGGCTAAATAAAAACTACAATTTGGACAAAATTTGAGCTGAGAGTGTTTTCTGAGTGATCAGCCTATAACAAGTATCGGRCAAGATTTGTTTCTTTCTACTACATTATACAGGTGTTCATTGTCAGCCTACACTTCAAAAGATTTGAGGGAGGCATACATTTAATCTTTGAATCTTCTCTATTTAGATTAAGCACTCTTAGTTTCTTCAAGTAAATATAATACAGTTTTCAGGCCCTCTTCMTCCTGGTTACCTTCCTTTTATTGATCATGTTGTTGTTTTTTTTTTTTTAACAAATAGTATGTGAAAACTGAACGCAGTACTCTTCATGTTGTGTGACTGACACAGAGCATGGAGGAACTATAACCTCTCTGCTTCTGAAAACTTATGCAGACTTTAACTATCACTTTACACTTGATTTTTTTTTTTACTGAGTTTGCATTTTACCAAAGGCTGGCTAGCTTGTTTACAAGAACTTTCTAAAAACCAGACTGGCCCCATCTGATGCATGTGTTGCCGAGTTTTGAAGTAAAAATCGTTTTTATTATTGAATTTCACTGTTTTCAGTCTATTAAGATATTTTAGACTTTCAAAACACTAGCTTTTAGATTTTTATTGTCTATTAA